GATGCTCAGAAAACACAGTGGACGGGGACAGGCCGGTGCTGCCTGGGGAGCTGGGGGCCGGGTCAGAACACACAGTGGACGGGGCTGGGTGCCGGGTCAGAACACACAGTGGACGGGGACAGGCCGGTGCTGCCTGGGGAGCCGGGGGCCGGGTCAGAACACTCAGTGGACGGGGCTGGGGGCCGGGTCAGAACACACAGTGGACCGGGGCAGGCCAGTGCTGCGTGGGGGGCTGGGGGCCGGGTCAAAACACTCAGTGGACAGGGCTGGGGGCCGGGTCAGAACACACAGTGGACCGGGTCAGGCCGGTGCTGCCTGGGGAGTGGTGGCCGGGTCATAACACTCAGTGGACGGGGCAGGCCAGTGCTGCGTGGGGAGCAGGGGCTGGGGGCAAGCGGTGTTTCCCTGTTGTGCGTGAGGTTGCTGTGAGTTGATTCTGCTTTGATAGCACCTGACAACAAGGACGATCTGGCTCTTCCACTCGAGAGAACAGGATTGTTGGTAGCTGGCACTGAGTGGACCCCTGACTTATGGCGACCCCTGGACAGCAGGACGGGATGACTGTGAGCTGCCGCCCTTTGGTAGCAGCCAGGGCGTGACACACTCCGCCCCACGGCTCCTTAGGAAGATTCCCGAGCTTACTGAACCACCCCCCTCCTCTGCAGAGGAGAAGGAGCTGTGTCAGCAGACAAACCCCACACCTTCCCTCAAAGTTCAGAGGAGACTGGACTCCCCTGGGGTTCCTCAGGAAAGGTGTGGCCCCCCAGCTGTGCAGGGGCTCTGCAGCAGTCAGTGTGAAGAATGGACGCAGAGGCCCTGCAGTGACCAGCGGAGAGGGGCGGGGGGCTCAGTCCTTTGTGGCTGGTGTTTCATCTTATCAGGAATTCGGGGCACATCTGGAGCTCAGTGCCCAGCGGTTCCTGACGCAGCAGGAGTTCACTGCCTGTGCTCTCCACAGGGGAGGACATAGTTTGAGCGAGCTGGAAAGTCCCCACCACCAGCGTGGTCTTCTCCTGGCCTTCTTACTGATCTGGGGTGTGGGGAGATGTCGACCCCTTGGAGGGAGGGATGGCAAGGACGCTGTGCTCAGGACAAATGGAGGGTTCACATGTATTCAGTCAACAAACATCCCTGAGGCCTGTGCCTCATGCCAGGCTCTGCGGGGCCTCACTGCTAATAAACACAGAGGAAGACAGAGTGTGCGCCTTCAAAGGTTCCTGGTTTCCTGGCAGAGGCCAGCGCAGGACAGATAAAAATAATGCACCCTGGAAAGAGGCGATAAGGAGTTCCCAGAAAGAGCATCAGGCCTGAGGCGCTGATTCCCCGTCCCTCCCCAAAGGCCATCCCTGGGAGAGGGAAGGCCGAGGGCAGACAGGGGCCTTCTGTCCACGTGCTCCTCCTCCTCCTCCTTCTGGTCAGGGTCGGGCAAACCGGCTCCAAACCATAGAGACAGTGGGGACAGAGTATCCACTGCACCAGGTGAGCTACCAAGGCTCCGGGGTGGGGTAGTGCGGGGACCACCCTTTGACACCCTGCCATGTTCCACCGACTCCCAGAACTTAGGACAGGAACACAAAGACATCTTCCCGGCCATGAAAGCTACAGTGCTGCCCTCCCCTCTGGCCCCACCTCTCGGTCTCTGCCCCTATTTAGATACAGTGGAGGCCCCTGAGAGGAGTGAAAGCCTGGTGGTTTGAACCCACCTAGAGGTGCCTCAGAAGAAAAGCCTGGCAATCTACTTCTGGAAGGTCCTACCATTGAACATACTATGGAAGAGTCAGACTGACACACAGAGCCACTAACAGTCAATGGCAACAGTGGGCCATCATTTAGTCACAGAGAAGTGTGGCTGGAAGCCACGTAAATGTCCTACCACACCCTCCTTAGGGAGCTCTGGTGGCACAATGGGAAGGTGTTTGGCCGTTAACCAGAATGTCAGTGGTTCAAAGCTGGGTGGCAACTCACGAGGAAAGGCCCAGAGATCTGGGTCAGGACGGAGAGCAGATGTTCCTGGGGCACCGTCATGGGGACTCCTCTTCAGCGTGAGTCTGTGCACAACAGATGGAGCCACACCGGGTCATTCTGCCCTGTCCTGTGGGGTCCCAGTGCGTCAGAATCGATTTGAGAGCCCACAGTAGCTGTAAACCCAAACCAGTACCTCCCCACACATTTCCTCTTAGGGAGAGGCCCGAGTCTGAATCCGCTGGGGACGTTGGTTGAGTCTGAATCCGCTGGGGACATTGGTCTGGTTCTGGTCTTCAGAGACTGTCAGTTGAATTCTGCTCTGTGGCTCCCCCTTGTGCTCTATGGGGTGTCACCATTGTGGACCTTGAAGAGCGGGCTGCCAGGCTGTTCCTCTGAGGCACCTCTGGATTGTTGGACCCACTGCCAACCATTTGGTTAGCTGCTGTTCCCTGGAGTCGGAACCGACCCGTAGCTGGCCTTCCACCTTCTCCCTCAGTGCAGCTCTCTCAGAAGCCCCGCCTTTCCTTTCTCTGATTCCACACTGTTTCTGTGACTAGCCCTGCCCGCAATGATTTTTAAGATCTGCCTCTCAGAACTGAGTATCAAGCTTCTTGGAAGAGTTACTTCATGAGTTTTACAAGTGATACTTTCATTTGCTTTAAAAAGTATTATAATTTAAAGCATTTCTCAAGTTTGTCTTGTATTACTTGGTGATAAGAAATGGTTGCCTCTTTCTAAGACAGAAACCTGTACCTTCAAGTGGATTCCGATTCATAGAGACTCTCCCCCAGGCTCTTGGCTGTAAATATTTCTTTTCTTTTCTTATTGTGTACCATAGAATCGGATCTGACTGGCACAGGGAAGGCTGTGCCTCCTTCTCCAGCATCTGGTGGATTCGAATCGTTCACCTTCAGGATTGCAGTGCAGCTTTTTTCCCCACTAGGCCACCAGAGCTCCCCAAGGCTGTAAATCTTTCCGGGAGGAGACTGCCCATCTTTCTCCTAAAGATCTGCTGGTATTGGATTTGAACTGCCAGATGTGACACTCCCACCACCCACTTCTTTCCTGGGCTCATCTCCCTGGTCAGAGGCACCAGAGCATACAATTTCCTGACTTTTTATCTGGAGCCCCGAGCTAATTCACTCTCCATCTTTCCAAGTTATTGTGGGCAGCAGGTCTAATGTCCTGGGTCATTATCTCTCCATCCTCCAGGGACATTTTTCTCATTCCCTACCGCCTGGCCCTGGGACCAATGCATCATCTTGAGCAATTTTCTTTTGGGCCCTGATTTCCATACTGTTGGCTTAGGCCTTCCTCTGCCTGGGGAACAGTCAGGAGCTCAGGGCTGGTAGCAGTAGAGCTTCTCCCTTGAAGGACTTGCCCTGTCGGAGCTGGTGGCAGGTCCCCTCCACGTGACCTTCATTATGTGAGCCAGGCTGAAGGAGCAGCCCCCACCTGGGACAAGCTCTTCTGTCACAGGGCAAAGAACGCGTGGCAGAACCCCACCGCGGCTGTCAGCGCCTGTGACTGGGTGTGATAATGTGACTTCTGGAGTCTTGGTGCAAACAGTTACCAGCTCAGCTTCTCACCAAAATGTTGACATTCAGGTTCACCCGGCGGTATATCAGCAGAAATGCCTGGTGATCTGCTGAAACTCAGCCTCGGAAGCTCTGAAGCACACAGTGCTACTCCGGCCATACCGAGTCTGAATTGACTCCATGGCATCTCGTTTATGTGGCTCATGCTCATTGGCCAAGGAAGTCACATGACCAGTCCTGATATAAATGGAATGTTGTCAGCCACCCTATAAGTAGAATTTGTTGTTATCATTTGCCATCAAGTTGGGTCCATCTCAGAGCTGACCCTCCAGCGGGTTTTCAGAGGCAGTAAATCGCATGGGAGGAGACTGCCCATCCTTCTCCCACGGAGCAGCTGGTGGATTCGAATCTCATGCCTTTATCATTGGAAGGGGAACATGCAATTCTCTTATCAGAAGGAGCAGGACATAATTAGAAAGCCCACACCTTCTCTTCAACTTCCCTTCCTCACAAAAATGACTTTGGACCTTTCTGATGTTAGAATCACATACATTCACCTGCTCCTCACTTACCAGCCGTCTGGTTCTCAGACATTTACCATTGATGCCTCTAGAAGAAGTCCACTGTCCCACTCCATTGCACTTTAATGATGGATGTTGGTCAGTAAGGAGTGCTGAGGGGTGAGGCCAGAGTAATGCTGGCGGTGAGGCTGGGCCTGTGGTAGAAGAAAGACCTCAGACTCACACTTCAGCCAAAGGAATTTCTTACTAAACTAAAACAACAAACAGTTCTTTTGAAGGAAACCCTCAGTGTGCGCAGAGCACAAAGACTCATGGAGCCACTGAATCTCTAACATCCATGGAGTCTGACAGATGCATTGTTGCATAGAAATGAACGCTTCTAATGTTATTTATTGATACATCATTGTCAAAGGCGGGGCAACCAAAGCAGCGTCTTTATAATGATGGATTCAGAAGGTTTCTGTTGACTGACCAGTCACCACTTGGTGCTGTGTGCTTTGTTGATTAATTACTGCTTAGTTACCGTAAGAGGTCCACCGGAGGGACCAGGGGTCGTCTATGACTTGACAGCAGATGGCTCGGTTGGTCGGCTGCCTGGGGGTTGGGGTAGATTTATAACAGTGTTGGGAACATGTGTGGTGTGTATAGTGTAACACAACTCTGGAAGCCATGAGCGCTGGAGGGCTGATGGCAGACGGCTGGCTGAGGAAGAAGGCAAGCCCGCAGGCACGCCTTGCCCTGGGTCTCAGCTGAGGGAAAAACATCCCTCTCCTGGTGTTTCCTGTAAGTCCTGGCAAGGCCACACACATGCTTGGAGTTGAACTTGAAGGAAAGTTGCTCCCTGATATGCTGAAAAGCTGAGCTTGGTCTCTGGAGCAGCTTCCAGGCGTGCTAGTCATGCCCGCCGGCTGTGTTCTCACGCCCTCATCATGCCCACATCTTGCCCACATCATCTCGTCCCTCTCTGTGCCCACAGTTCGACATGCAGAGGATAACTCTGGAGGAGTTGAAGCACATTCTCTACCATGCCTTCCGGGACCACTTAACCATGAAGGACATCGAGAACATCATCATCAACGAGGAGGAGAGCCTGAACGAGACCTCGGGGAACTGTCAGACGGAGTTCGAGGGAGGTAGGGACCACTGCCTTTTGCTTTTTCTCTGATCTGGCAGAGTCCAGTGCCTCCAAGGTCTGTATGAAAAATATATCCCAGGACACCTGGCCCGAAGTGGCCTAATAATCAAGCCAAGATCCAAGGCTGAGGCTAGAAACACCTTCAGCAAAGATGCAGTGTTTCTGGGCTTGGTTTTGCTTTTCTGAGTTATTTTCCCCTAAATTCTACAGGTCCTCTGCTGGCCCTGTCCTTCCTGTGAGTGGAGGTGTGGCTTTGTGCTGTTTGCCTTTACTTCGTGGGGGCTGCCTGGGATAGTGGAAAGAGGCAACCTAGACTGTCTGCAAGCTTGGGTCAAGTTCACTGCCAAGTGTCTGACCCCTGGGCACGGGGTGTTCCTTCTCTGAGTGCATTTCCTCATCGGTCAGCGTCAGGTTAATTGCACAGGAACCTCCGGAATGGATCACATCTGTGCACTGACCAAAGAGAGGCCAGGGACAGAGTGTTCCCGTGAGCGTAACCAACTAGTTACAGAAGAAATGAGTTCCACAGAGAACCATTTTTCTTCCTTGGGCTCATAAAAGGAAATGCAGGGGGAGGGGGGAAGCCTACCTTATCCCCTAATCAGTAGAGTTCCTGGGAAGCTAAATAATTTAATCCCTCTTTCCAACTCTGAAAATCAGGGCTGCTTTAACAGTCCCAGAGGACAGAAAGGGGGAAAAAATAAATGTGTACCTAAAACAGCATAGCAGGATACCAGCTGTTTTAACCTGTTCGGTGCTGAGCTTTCTCAAGAGGCCAAGCAGTACTTGGTGTGTGAATGTGTAAACAAAGCCATACACACACTGGGTGGACTTAATGAAGAAGCTGGATTGTCCAGACCTCACAGCTGCTGCAGACAAGCGGGCTGACTGTGTCTTGAACTGACCGAGCACTGGGACAGTGCTTAGAACAGGGCAAGGCCAGGTGGCCACAATGTCAGTTCAGACCCGAGTTCCCGTCAGCCCTGAGCAGTGCTGGCCACCTGAGCCAGTGTGCCAGGGTTAATGGTCATGCCACAGAAAACGAGATAGGCTTCTGCTCAAGGAAGACAAACCAACTTAACTCAAACTGAGCTAATAGAGAGTCGTGAAGACTGAGGCAAAGGACCGGCATCCACACGTTCATTTGCCCAACACACTGTGTACATGAAGCAAAGCACATTTGTGGTCCAGATGCTGCTTTTATATTCATTTGTAACATCTAGGCTATAATATAGGGAGTTTGGTAGCCTCGTGGTATGAAGCTGTGCTGCGATCCCAAAGGCACACAGTTCAGATCCCGCGAGCTGCTCCACAGGAGAAAGATGAGCAGTCTCCGCCTGTGTGATTAAATGCCTCTGAAAATCTGCTGAGGGTCCACTGTGGGTCACTTCTCAACAAACAATTATCAGAGGCCTGTAGATTGCAATAAGCAGGTCCCTCCCAGGCAGGGCCTTTCCTAGCAGGCAGGAGGGGAACTGGGAGTGGGAGCGGGGGTCCCGACAGCAGGCCTGGCCTCCCCATTGCACCGTGTTCTTAGCTGACGGAGGATACTCACAAACAGTGCACGAGGGGCTCTGTCAGGGAACACTTTTTTTTTTTTTGGCTCATTTACTTTATTGTTAACATTAATAGTGATGTTACATTAAAGTCGAACAAGGGAGGAGGCAGAGTGTGATTGCCTTCCTAGTGTGATTATCAGGGAACCCTCAAGGGAAGTGGAAGAGGGAAGGTTTTTCTGAGCATCTTATTTTCCCACAAAAGCTACTGTTTTGGATCAACATTTGATTCAAGGGGGAAGGTTGGCTGCGCTCTAAATTCTAATCTGCACCCCAAACAATGCCTTTACATCACTTCAAAAGCTCATTTGTTAAGAAAATAAATGACTTAACAACCAAAATCCAGTGAGTGGTCATCAAGCCATCTCTGCCTCATGGCATCCTCACTCTGTGTCAGAGTAGGACTCTGCTCGACAGGGCTTTTAATGACTGGCACTTTGGAGAATAGATCGCCAGGCCTTTCTTCCGGGTCATCTCTGGGTGGCCTAAAATTCCAGCCTCTCTATATCAGCATCATCTGTTTGCCCTACCTAGGTTCTCCATGCAAAGGGGTTTCACAAGGATTATCTTGTGTCTGCTTTCATGATGATTAATAATATTAGGACACTGGTGATAGGAGGTAATTAATAAGTGCCAGGTAATGAATAAATGCTTCCAACCTCACAGTCATATTTGGTAAGAAACCTTTTTTCTCCATGAACACTTTTCTTTCCTGCGTGACCTCTGTGACCTTGGTTGCATAATCCTTCTTTGCATATTTTCAGGTCATAGAAGGAATTTTAATATTCCACCAGCGCAGTTTTTGGCCCCAGGCCCAAGCTCGCTGATTTGTGCTTTGGTTTTAAGATTTACCCAATGTTGAATGTGGTTGAAGTCACTGTCACTGGCACCTTAATGGAATAGTAAGTGGCTTCCTGTCCTTCCAAGTTCAGGACAGGCCACTCTGACTGTCATTTGGGCATGAATGCGGGGGAAGGGCTAAGCGCGCAGACCCCTAGTTCACCTTCTGTTGGTCAAGAATTGCCAGAAGCCGTCAGACCTGTGCTGACCAGGACCTCTCCATAGCCATCTTCCCATTGGCCAGCCACGCCCCAGATGAGTTCCATCAGCCTGACTGCACCCACTCTGCTCCCCTCTCTAAGTCTCCTGGGCTTCCTCTGCCTCCAGCCCTCTGCATCCTCCCCAACCTGCCCCAGTGTCAGGTGACACTCTCAGAACTTCAGTCATGTCCTCCCTGGCATCTCAGATCCCCTTCCCTGCCCTGTCAGCTTCCACACACCCAAGTGTCAGTAAACACCAGCATCTTAGTTTGAGGGGACAAGTGTTTTTGTGTGTGTTTCTTTGAAGCGAGAGGACTCTTGTTTTCAATTCTAATCTTCCTCTTAATCCCAAATGGCTGAGAAGAGAAAGGAACGAATGAGAAAGTGACTCATCTAAGAGAGGGAGCCATGCCTGGGGGGAGTGAGAGCTGTGCCTGATGGGAAGGAAGGGAGCAGTGGCTGATGGAGGG